ATACACACACACACACACACACACACACACACACACAGAGGATTTTTTATTAACTTGCTTTTCAAATTTGCAGTCACATAATTCATACTCTGGAGATGATCTTCAAGTCAATAAAGATTCCTCAAGTTTTAACACCTTATTTTTGAGGGTTTTTTTCCCACCAATTTTGATTTATATCGCTCCACTGTTTCTCATATCATTTTCTCAGTGTCTTTCAGTTCAATTTAAAATAGTATATTATAGTTTTGTATGCCTTCATTCTTAATAGGATGGCATAGCCCAGTGATGGCAAACCTTTTAGAGTTTTCAGTGATACAGTCAGCCTATTGTGGCACGTGTGCCTTAAGTTCACCACCACTGTAGCCCCTTACTTTTTTTTTTCCCTGTACTGGGGATCAAAATCAGGACTTTGCGCTTGCAAGGTAGGCACAGTGCCACTGAGCTAAATCCTTGCTCCTCCTTACTCTTTTTAAGAGTGATTTTGTGTTGCGTTTGACTTTGGGAATTTTTGGTCATTTCGGTGTGAATTTTGTATTCCTCCACTTGTACAAGGAGGCTTGGCTCACTGAGCTTCTCTGACTTTCCTCTTGTTTTCATGGTGGCTTGCTGTCTGAGATCTCATGGCTCTGTTATTTCTCCCATATCTACCTAGACTTTGTATTTCCTTTTTTGGTTTTTCTTTTGACTCTATCTTGCTCCATTGTGGTCAGATTTGTAACAGTTTCTTCTCATTGTGGGGCTAAGAAATGGAAGAAATCCCTGGTTGGTTAGTTTTGAGATTTCACAAGAGCTAGCCTGTGTCACAAATAATGTGCAGTTATTTTGAGATGGGGAATAATGAAGTGTTACTTAAGGGTACTTATTCAGTACTGATTAAGAGCTAGAAATGTTAGATATACACCCAGTTCTACTGCTGGCACCAGCAGAGCTGAATAATTACTGGAAAATGCTTCAAGGATGTGGATGTTCATCTGCCAGTTGATAATCCTACTTCAGGCAACAAATCTTTGGCATGAGAAAGGGATCCCCCCCATAAAGGACTCCCCCACCCCCATGGTGATAAATAATATATTCCTTTTTTAAAAAATCTTGTTAGTTTTCAGTATAAAATGTATTTTTTTTCTCTAACAAATAGAAAGCCCGTGGCTTACCTAAGAATTCTGTTTTAAGTGAAATTGTTAAGAGGGTAGAATGACTTCACAGCAAGAGATCTAAGAGCCACTTACTTAGACAGTGTGTGCCAGAGATAATTTATGAGGGGCCTTCTCAAAATAATTTCTTTCTGCATACAGCTAAAGGCTTAACTTTTTAAAAGTGAATGTTATAGTTTCCTTATTTAATGTGGTAACATGCACTTCTATAAAAGGATGAAATATTTTTTCTTATAGAAAAGAAAACGGAGAGAGAAAGATGATGATGTCGTGAGCCTTAGCAGCCTTGATCTGAAGGTAAACCTGTTTCCCTGTTAGAGAAAAACATCTTAAAATTTGGGGGTTACACTGTGAAAAGAATGAATTCTGGGTTTTATGGGGGAAGAGAGTCTTTTCATTTTTTTTAAGTACAATACTGAGTAATACTGGGTCTTCTTTAAGAAATCCTCATTTTGCTGTTTTGTGTCTTGGTTAAGAAAGAGGGAAACCACTCTTTAACTGGTGATCACAAACACAAATGCCTAAGCCAGGCCTGTAACATATGCAAAGAAAAGAGATAGAGGGAATCGGTGAAAGGACCACCATGCCCTTCAGAAAGAGGCAGTACTACTGTGCTTATTGGCAGAACCTGGACCTTTGAGTGTAATCTGAATTTTAAATATTGAGTCAATTAAAAAAAGGAAAAATCAAACCAGGCAACTCTGCTAGTTAGATGAGGCCTATGGGGTTCACATGTGCCCTATGATAAACTAAAATTCAGTGCATACTTCTATATTCTTTTATGTAAAGTTATACGTAAGTCCAAAAGTATCATTGAACTTACACCCTGTTTTTTCCAATGGCAAATTTTACAAAAGCATCTTAGTTTTAGGGAATCTTAAAAGATTATTATGCAAAAAACTTTACATTTTTTAAGTGAGAGTTGTTTTAAATATTTGAAATACATCAGCAGCTGCTACTTCTTACTAAATAAAAGCAACATTCTCTCCTTTTTTTTTTTTTCAGTGCTAGGGCTTGAACGTAGGGCCTTTGCACTGAGCTACGTCCCTAGCTTTTGTTTTGTTTTGTTTTGTTTTTTGAGAGAGAGTCTCACTAAGTCATTCATCTCTCCAGGCAGGTCTCCAGCTTGCAGTCCTCCTTCCTCAGTCTTCTAGGGATCTGGAATTACAAGACTGTGCCATCGTGCCTGGTTCTAAAATTTAAATTTTTATAGATACTGCCCATTGATATTTTAACAAATCCAGCAAGTCAAGTTTTTTTCTTACTTTTAGTACATAGTATATTTTTTATAAGAATTATGTGTTTTTAAGTGTTAGGCTTTTTGCAGAACAACTTGAATTGGATTTAAAATATCTTATATTTAAAAAGTTTAAAGTGGCAACTCTTGAGTATTTTTAGGTATGCTTCCAATCAAATTGTATACAGAAATAAGATGGTATTTGTAGTTTGCCACATGTACTTTACACAATCAAACCTACTTAGAGAAAAAAAAATCTCTTTTTCTTCAATCCAGGTTTTGCAGTTTACCAGTATATGATCAGATCAGTTGTTTCATCTGTCCACTAACATCTGCCTTCCTTGAATTAATTTGATGCAGATTGCAGCTGTTCTATCATTTCATATGTAAATATTTTGTTATCTATCAATTATTTTCAATGTTTTAAAGATAAGTTTTTTAAAAAAAATATTTAAATGGAAAAAATGTATTAATAGTAAAAGACATGTTGCCATAAATTCTCCCTCTTGGTTTTTGTAAGTAATTTTTTTTTCCTCATTGAGTTTATTGGTACATTTTAGGTATACAGTACAGTTAACATTCATTATTGGGATCTTGTACCTCTACCTGACAGGTCTTACTTCTCAGTTTTTCCCCTTGTCCCTGCCCTCCCTTCACCCAGTAATTTTTTTATCTTACTAGTACATGTTGGGGTGTTTTTTGTTTTTTGTTTTTTTTTTTTAATCTTCTTTCCTCATCCCTCTTCCTCCGGTTCCCCTACCCCTTTTCAAACTTGATCTTTTTTGCCTTACCTCATGTTGTGGCAAGTAGTGCTTACATTAATTGGGGTTATTAGGTTCCTATACATGGTACATCTTTATTCTTTTCATATCCCCTTCTCCCACCCTACTCACCTCTTGCCCTTGTTCCTTTGAATAATACCAGGTGGTGTTCCATTATATACAGATACTACATTTTCCTTATCTAGTCGCTGGTGATGGATATACAAGCTGCCTCTAGGAATTAGCTATTGCAGATTGTGCTGCTGTATGCATGTGTCACTGTCTTAAGATTAAGCTCTTTGGGGAAAATACTAGCAGGGAGATAGTTGGGTTTGTGGAATTTCTGATGTCAGTCCTTTAAGAAATCTCCATACTGATTTCCATAATGGTTGTAGTAGTTTGCACTCTCACCAGCAATGCAGGCGGGTTTGCTTTTATCCCAACCTTGCCAGCATTTGTTATTGTTTGCTTTTTTGTTGTTGTTTTTTTGAGACAGGGTCTCACTATGTAGTTGAGACTGAATTAGAACTCACTGTGTATCCCAGGCTGGTCTCAAACTCTGATCCTCCTGCCTCAGCCTCCAAGGGCTGGGATTACAAGGGAGCGCCACCAAGCCCGGCTTTCTTAATGCTTCCCATTCTTTCGGGAGTAAGATGGAATCTTATCATTGTTTTAATTTGCCTTTTTCTTAATGTCCAGAGATGTTGAGCAGTCTTTTCAAATATTTGTTGACCATTTATATTTTGAATTTTCTAGAAATGACTTCTGCCTTTATAAAGTTTTTAAAAAACAAACAAAAATCAATCCATGGGGCATGATGGCATACTCTTATACTTCCAGCGCTCTGGGAGGCTTAGGCAAAAGAATGACAAGTTCAGGTTCAGTCTGGGCAACATAGTGACCCTCTCTCAAAAAAGTTTTAAAAAGGCTGGGTATGTAACTCAATGTGAAGACCCTGTGTTCAATCCCCAGTAACCCCACACACACAAAAGTGATTTGAACAAAAAATATAGAGACATTAAAAATAAGATAATGCACTAAAGGGGCATTCAGGCATCCTTTTTATCCAATTTCAACTCTTGGATTTTTTTTAATAGTCCCTTCTTATAAATGATCCCCCAAATTATTTTTTATCATAAAACATAGATTCACTAAGCAGTGTTAACACAGATAATTTTCTTACAGTATGTTCAGCAAAAGTTGAGCCATTAGAACTATTTGGTAGTTTTGTTTGTTGTTTTTTTTTGTTTGTTTGTTTGAGACAGGGTCTCACTGTATAGTTTAGGTTGAACTTCAACTCACTATGTAGCCCAGACTGGCCTCGAACTTGCAGTGATCCTTCTCCTTCAGCCTCTCATGTGCTGGGATTACAGGTGTACACTGCCACTCCTGGCCTGTTTGGTAGTTCTATTGGTCTATTATCAGGGTCCTTTAAACCCAGTTTTAGCATTTGAGTTTCTTTTGAGCAGATCTAAATATTTATAAGAATTGAAATTTCATTGTCATTTATTTTTCCGGTAAGATTTTCTAAAGAACAAAATTTATGTAATAATATTTTTTAAGAGATTATAATTCATTCTCTTTTACCATTGTCATTTGGGTCCACTGTACTCTTATAAATCTAAGGTACATTATGGAATCTTGGAGATCTTAATTTTTCACTATCTTAAAATATTTTTGCTGTTTTATCAACCTGTCACTTTTTCTTGTCTTTACTAAAAGATTAAAATGAAAATGAATAATGATAGAACACCTAGAAAGACAATATAAAAATGAAATAGTCATCTTTCAATTTTGTAGTGTGTTGTCCAAAATACTGTAGTCCCTTCTTATTCACAGGAGATACACTCCAAGATCTCAGTCAGTGATCTAACTTTACACTTTTAAGGATCTAGAAAAAGAGAAACAGTCTAAACCTAATGCCTTCCAAAAGGGAGGAAATAAACATTAGAGATAAATAAAATATGAAAGTGAAAATCAGTAGTTCTTTGAAAAGACTAACAAAATTGACAAACTTTTATGTTGATAACTAGGAAGAAAAGACTCAAGTTACTAAAATGAGACCTGAAAGTAGAAACATTACTACCAGTTGTACAAACAAAATAAATAAGAAAAGACTGTGAAAATTCTACATTACCTAAATGAATAATGTAGATAAAATGGATGATTTCCTAGAAACACACAAGCTATCAAGACTGAATCATGAAGCCAGGTGTAGTAACACATGCCTGTAATCCCAGCACTCCAAGAGGCTGACACAGGAGGATCACCATGAGTTCAAAGCCAGCCTGAACTATATAGTGAGACATTGTCTCAAAAAATAAAAATTGAATTATGCAGAGAAAATCTGCATAGGCTTGAATCTGATAAAAAGGATTGAAGTAGTAACCAAAAACATCCCAACAGAGAAAAGCCCTGAATGAGTTGATTTCACTGGTGAATTAATACCAAACATTTAAAAGATTTAACATGAGTCTTTCTCAAACTCTTAGCTGAAAAAACCAAGGCAATACTTCGTAATTCCTTCTGCAGTTAGTATTATCCAGATACAAAACCAGAGACAACACAAAAAACTGTAGGCCAACATCCTTTATGAAAATGGAGGTAAAATTAGACCAGCTTGGTAAAAGAGAGCCCTAGCTGGTAGAACATACTAAATGTTGTCCTGGCTGCTCTCTTCATGGGACTCTCCACAGGGTGAAATTTTTGTTTTACCTAGTCCTAGGCACTAGCACCTTGATGCTCCTTTATAAACATTAATATGAGGTACAGAAGTCCTACCACCTTGTGCCCACTTCCATATGTCCATCCATATGTTTCTCCAAAATGTATTTGTTCCTTTCCAGTTTTGTTTCCTACCAAGCCTCTTAACTAATCAGCAGTCCACTCACTGCTGCTTAGGAACCTGTCTGCGTCTGCACATCATGCCATCTTCCCTCCATGTGGAGTGAACAGTCAAGTGTGCTGCTTATACTCTGCCTTCTAGAATTGGTTTCTTTTACTCCTTGATGTTCTCACTTAACAGGGTGCATTGCAGTAGTGATCCATTTTCTGTTCATTCAGCATGTGAAGCTAATGCCAACTTTTCTCCCAACAGTTGGTGATAGAGATTTACCCCCATCATCAAATGTAAAGTTGAAGAAGAACCAGTGTAATGTACTAGATAACACGGCAGTCTGGACCATCTCTTCGTGTAATTTATTGATGCCGTTTGTTATTCCTCAAGTCTGATCCCTGATTAAACATTTGCATCATACAGTAGATTGCTGCTCTGCCTCCTGGTGACTTAGTCAACCTGA